AGCAGAGCTCAGGGTGTCTGTGATACTAGATGAATCTAAGATTGTAAAATCAGCCTTTGATGAGCAGCATTTAAAATCACTCAAAATATTAGAGAACTACAAAGCAACATTAAAAAATGAATACATTAATTGTAAAGACTCTTATTCTCTTTCCAGTGTCTGAAGTTCCTTCTTCGACAATCCCCTAGAAACAAGGAACAGCTTTATATGGAGAGAAAATATAAATTATTAGAGCCTGATATGTATTTAATTATATTTAATAATAATTTTTCTATTTAAATTGCATATTGTATTTTAAAATGTACAGTACTTATTATTTTTATGGATTGAATATTTTAAATTTAAACATTAACATTATTGAATGAATTTAACATTTGTCTGTGGAATTTTAGAATAATTCATTTTTTGAAAGCTAATGCTAAGCCTGAAGCAGATTTATGAATAAACCAAAAATGTGAGTTTGTTTATCTTTACTAAACCCAAGATTGACAAGTATGAAAAATGTGGCTTTAAACTTAGCTGTTCTATCATTTGATCTTTGAATTATGAATAACTTTCATTTATGTCTATTACTGTTGTAAGGAACCAAGTCCGAGCGTTATTTTTAGTTACTTTTTATTTTGCTTTTTATTCTATTTTTGTTTGCGGCTTATGTTTTGTTAGGACGAAGGATTTCCTCACCACTCACCTTAGAAACTCAAAAATAGAAGAGAAACCAACTCACCGACAAGAGAAAAGCGCCTTAGATAAAACTCGTGCACACTTGCGCTCCCGAGCGGAAAAAAGTAAGTCTGCACCAAGAAAAGGGGGGGAACCCCACAAGCACAACTTAGGAACTTGCTAAACCTTAAAGAATAAAACATCCCGAAAATTGTCAAAAAACATAATGTAAAAGGTTAGCGAGTATTGTCGAAAAATAGGCTGCCAGGCAGAAAAAAAAGTTTACTGTTAGTGATAAGTATGTAAATGAGGGGAGTGATCTCACTTAGAATTGTGATGTCACCTCACAGTATAAATCCTGTACCTCAAGCGAAGATGACCGAGGTGAGCTTCTGTTAGCAACAAGCGAGGTGAGCTTCTGTTAGCATCAAGCGAGGTGAGCTTCGTAGCAGCGAATGACAAGAGGTGTCTGATAGTAATAAAGGTGTTCCAAGGCGATTAGAAGTTATTCGATTTGTGAATCGAAGAAAGTCTTGAGAATTGAGGAATAAGGTTCCTAGTATATTGGAGGTGACGGTTAGGACCTTAGTTCATAAGAATTGGTGTACATAAGTTGTCTTTAAATTTTTTGTTGAATTCCAAAGGGGAATAGATTTAAGTTAGCAAATAGATTGATTTGAGTTTTGTCAGGTTGATTCTTATCATTGATTATCTTTGAATAAATTTGTTGTTTGATTGTTACTAATTTTTGTACATAGTCATTATTAGAATTATTAAATATTGGATTGTTTTTGATGAACTTTGCAATTATTTAATTCGGTGCACACTTAAAGTCCAGGCCTGGCACATTAATGCAAATCCGCGTAAAGTACCTGTTAGATAATGGCTATTTCCAATACACAGTTCATGTTGATAATCGTTGTAAAAGGCGTAAAAATAATTTAGTACTTTACATTGTAATTTGTTTCAAACTTAAATCAATATGTTCAAAGCACGTTGTTTCTTCTGTTTGAGAACATTAAGCAGGAGTTCAATTTTCATTTTTTTTACTTTTTATTTAATTTAAGTTGACTTACGATAGCATTCACAAGAACATTTGATTAGCCCCAGAACAATAATTTGGCATTAAAAAATCAATAGATGAACATATAAAAGGTAATCCAAAAACAGTAAATATAATAAATACAAATATGAAAAATAAAAAAAATTACTATAAAATACTGAAATGTAAAAGACATTTTTCAATGTATTTTGAAAGTAAAATGTACTGAAGATATTGACACACTATAATCCTAATATTTTTGAGAAAAAAAAATAAAACATAATTTACAAATTATACTTAGATGAGTAAAAAGGGCATGTATAAAACTGACTCTCTGAGTTGAAAGATAGAATATAAATAAAAATATACATTAGCGCATCATTTATCCGAATCAATTGGGGACTGAGGTTGTTCGGATAACTGATTGTGTACGAAAAAATATATTAACCTATCCTGTGTTGTAATTTTTCTCCGTTGCGTGTCGCTTTGCGTTGAATTTTTGTCGATGTTAAGCCTAATATAAACTTTTTAAAATAATAATTGTGGCTATTGTATCGTTAAAAATTATTTCTTTATTTTTTACAAACAAAATAACTATATTGAAAAATATAAAAACCAAAAAGAATATACTTTAGAAGTTGATCTAGTATCGAAAGCATTTGATTCAGCACGACACACAGTCCTCAGAAAAACACCACACAAAAGTGCCAGTGCTGCCATCTAAAACACACACAACAACAAATAATTAAAGCAGCCCAAGATATAACCAAAGATTGCAGCGCCACAGCACTAGCGAAAATTTAAATTTGCCAACTGGAATTCTTTCGGATAACTGATGTTTTGAATAACCAACTTTCAGATAAACGACACTCTACTGTAATTTGAATTGTTAAAATATTGTTAAGATATTTATAAAGTACTATCACAACAAAATAGTGATTTTGTTGTGTTGTGTTGCAGTCGATTTGTTTAGAAGTGCTAGATTTGTTTTGCAGTGGCGTGCCGTGACATTTGATGATAGGGAAGCTGTTTCTGTAAGAAGCTGACTTCCAGGGGCAATCAGTTAATTCTTTAAATATATTTTTTTAACTTCATATTTTTTGTTATTTCTAATTTTAAGTGCCTATTTTTAAAAATTTTATAATTTTTGTGCCTTTTTAGGTGCCAAAAACAATCTTTTTTAGTGCCTAAACATCATCAGACTACATATAGTCATATCACTCAGAAAACAGTAACTGTTTGAAAATTTGTTGTGATGAACACTTTAAAGAATTTTGAAATTCTTTAAATATCCTGTTGTTGAACTGACTTTGGAGAAGATCCATACAATCATTAACAAGCTGACAAAAACATTCCTTAATCAACTTTTATTTTAATTCAAAGTCAGACTTCTATTTAAAACAAAAACTTTTAAACAGCTTAATTAATGCATCTTTCATAGTGGTGAAATTTGAATGGTGAAAATGTTTTCAGTCTAATTAACAGGTCATCCTCAGTCATAAATAGTTGAGATTGGAATGTCAAATGAAATTGCATTTTTCAAATTTTAACTGGTTAAATGTACATTAATTAAGCTAAACAACCACATTGTTCAGATCACCCTTAGCTTTTAAACATACAAGTATTAGATTAAAGATAAGTAAGTCTAACAATTGTCTCTTTTCATCTGTTTGTACCAACTCTTTATTTTTAAAACTACTCATTCTTTCTTCTTCCTTCCCAATATACATTTTACTTTCTTCATTATTTCTTATTTTCAAGACCCTTCAAACATAATCTGTTTTTGGAGAAACCTTTGTTCTTTATTCTTACATGTAAAACAAGCCCAATATATGTTAATAATCAAACAATACAGCCAGATTCTCATCAAGCTATAACATGGCTACTTAATAAATAAGATACTAAGAAATTTTTCTTCCAGAACATTCTAAATTCAATTTATTTATTTCTAATTATTAAATTTAACACAAAATAGTAGTAGGGCTACCAACTTCAGAAGATTTGATTCCTAATGATAATGTTAAAAGCAAAATTGCCAGATAAGATAATCATGTATTATTTATTAAATCTACAATTTCATGTTCGTTAAAATGTCAACAGTCATTAAACCTAAAAATACCACACCACACCACTTTGAACGATTTAACACAATTTCCCTAAAAAATCATAGAAAACATCTGAGAACATTATAATCTAAGAAACTTGAACATATCTTCAACTATCTTGAGATAAAAATAAATTAGGAATTTGATTTTCTCAGCTACTACTAACATAACATAACATTACTAAATAGCATAACTGTTTTATTTGTCCAGTAGTACATAATTTTTATTTTTACTTTTTAGGCATAAAAATTTTAATTAAAAAAACTAAAGTAGCAATATATAGAATAAAATTAATTTATTATAATAATAAAGTCAATTTCAAGTATTATAAGACATTATGAAAAATACACTAGAGCATCGATTATCCAAATCAATTGGGGACTGGGATTGTTCGGAAAATCGATTTTTCGGATAACCGATTACGTACAAAAAATATATTAACCTATCCCATGTTGAAATTCATTCAAATCCTGGCACGTCCTTAAGTACCTTCTCATGGTCGCNTTTTTTTAACTCCTGTCAACTATACAGAACTATCATAAAAATATACCAGTAAATTCTTATCAGTTCAGTTAAGTTATAGACTAAATCTACTCATGATTCATGTAATCGGGCAAGGACGGCAAAATATCTAGCGGGCAGGTGACTCAGAACCAGTCCTGGATAGAATTGGATGCGGTATATGTGTAGCATCCACCCGAGGTCCTAGGCTTCCACCGGCTAAACTGGGTGAGGTTGGTGCTCTGTAAAGTGCATGCGCAAATCTGGCTTCTTGTATGCTGACAATACAGCGCTTCCACTCTGCCACTAATATTCGAATATACAATAGCAATCTTAATTTCTTTTTTCACGTGTAGTATAGAAATTTGTAATAAGATACATAATGTGGTTATAATAAAATATTGTGCAATTATTTTCATATAATTAAAATTAATATGTATTTATTTTTTAGAAAATACAAGGGAAGCGGCACATCCACTGCTTCCAATGATGGCACACCACTGTTGTTTTGACGTTTTAATGTGACCCCTAAATGGGATGATTGTATTCAAAAAGCATTAATCAAATTAGTAATTCCACTCCACCAGAAACTCTTTTAGTGTTTTTGTCTTTGTATATAGAGATAAGTGATAGAGTTGATAGGCATACTAAAAATCAATCAGCTTATAATACATACATCACAATTCACTTACCAATCTTCTACGTTCTACAGCTGCATTATATTTTTCTTCTTCCAGAAGCGCATCTTCCTCTTCCTTTTCAGCTCTTTTTTGTAATTCATCATATGACATGGCAACAATAGCCAAAATGAGATTCAATAAATAAAATGAACCAAGGAAGATGATTATGATGAAAAAACATATATGCCAGGGACCTGCTGTTCTTAGCACCTATATAATAAACAAAATAATAAAATTTTAAATTCTTCAGAGTCACTACTTTGAAAAACTATGTTAATTTAAATAACAAATATTTAATAAATTCAAATAAATTATATACAGTAAACCTCTGATAATTCAATTTAACAAGGAGCAAACATCATCAAAGTTTAGAATATCCAAGTTAGCGGGATGTTTTCTCTGACAATGCAAAAAAATGAGAAGATGGATATACAGTACAGTAATTTATTACAATCAGCTCTATACGTAAGTTTTACTGAGTTTTAGATTATACTACTGAATTTATTATCACAGGAAATGAGATAAAAAAAAATCTCATGACAATGTATAGCATATGGCAATGTACAATCTTTAGTAACTTAGCAACTATATTAATATAATGAACAATATCACAAAGACTTCTGAATATCAAAAACACTGTAAAGTATTAACCTTTTAGCAGAGTGGGAACAAAAGAAGCATGACCTTGTCAATTGGACCCACGTGCGGTCGGACGTTAGACCATTTGCCATATGGTAAACAACTAAATGTAAACAAGTGGCGAACGTTTATGTAAGCTTCACTCTCGTCAGATGACGGCGGACCCGAGTGTAAGCTGTTCGGGCAAGAAGGGGTTGCGATTGGTCGGAAGTCCCCGTCCAAAAAAAAACCTTAAATTGCAGGGCAAACAAGAGAAGAGGGAGAGAAGGGCAAGAGACTGGTACACGGTAGTCTCCGGCACTTGGAATACCCGCTGAGCATAGAGAGAGCGTTCTCCTCTGGTAAACATCTCAGGGATGGGTTAGTGCAGAGACTGGGCTGACCGTGCAGTTAAGCCAACTCCACGAGCTAACTGAGGCCTCTCCAAAGTTTAACATTTCCCGGAAAATCAATCTAGTACATGAGTCACCACGTATTGTTATCCTGTATATATATTATGTTTTTGAACTTGTACTTTCTGCATACAGAATCTGTAAATAAACTGTAAATATTAACAATTTGAGTGTGGAGGTGTGCTTTCCATCGAACTTGGATCACTACATTGAATCGTGATACACACGGAAACCAACTCAACGAGACAGAGTTTGGAAAGAACTTCACTCAGATCTTCACTAACACTCATTAATTATAATAACTCATAATTTTTTTATTGTCATGAAATTTTAAAATTACTGTACAGTTTTTTGAAAAATTTCTCCAAGTTTAGCAAAATCTGTATTAGTGAGTGTTTACTGTAATTTAATACCCACAAGCCAATTTCAATCCAAAATTTACTTACATATTTTAAGTATTATAAATCACAAAATAAATCAATAGTTACTTATTGATTATATCAATACTAAAAGTGAGAATTTGTAAAAAGGTACACTTGAAAAGTTTACATTGTTATAACATGACTGACTGTTTTAAATATTCTTATAAACATTAACAATAATTACTTAACAAACAATAATTACTTGAAAAATGAAGAAACTAAATTATTGATCAGTCGAAATAATCAATGTAACACTTTCTAATCCAGTAATTTACTTTACTCAAAACTTTACAAACGTAAACATGAAGATCATATAGCCCAATTCTTGATTAATACCAAACAATCTGCCAATACAATTGGGCAGATCTTTGGTACTTTACAAACGTTTCTGACTAAATTCGATAGGTCTTCTTCAGTCCATAACTCATACAAAAACATATTTGGATATGTAATTTCCAAATAGTTTTAAAAAGGCATTTGGTGGAGCCAGAATTTTCATCAATGCAAACGTTTGAGAAAACATTTTACAAGAGACTTGTTATAATTCAAATTCTAACCAACTTAAATATTCAAAACTTATTCCATTCTTATACCCAAATAGCATATTTACCTACAAATATAAGCCAACACAGAACTAATATATTATAATTCAAATACAGAAATAAAACTAAATTACTATACAGCAGTACATAATATTAATCACCTGGAAGGTATGAAAGAATGCTGTGCCTGATTTTTAAAAATTATAAAAGATTTTCCATGCACTTGAAATGCTTTCTGTAACTTTGTAGTTGTATCTTCCTTTATTAGTAGAGTTAAAAATTGCCAGATGTTCATGTGCTCTTGTGTGCTAAATTATCTCTTGCATGCAGAATTTTAGCATTTTCAAGTTTATCTCTGGCTCACTTGCAAAGAAAGCCAAAACTGTAGCAAGTTTATTTTTCTCTATGATGAGACTAGTTTACTGGTTTTATTAGTTTATTTAGACTATTAGTCCTGTGTTGGCTTAAAATTCGTAATTCCATGCACAGAAAGCTAGAACTTCTTTAAATAAGTTTCACAAAACCTTTTTACTAGCTTTGTCCAGGTTCACAAAACTTGTTTAATGACCTTCTTCAGGTTCAATCAGCATTGAACCTGAAGAAGGCCATTAAACATGACTGAAAACGTTTGTTTTCTCAAGAAACTGCTAGAAAATGTGTAAAAAGGTTTGTGAAACTTATTTAAAATTTGTATTTAAATATGTTATTTGAGTTACGAATGGAATAAGTTTTGAATATTTACAAGTCTCTTGTAAAATGTTTTCTCAAATGTTTGCAATGATGAAAATTTTGGCTCTACCAAATGCCTTTTTAAACACAAAACGACTTCTAATAACTTAATACTGCGTTGAGTAACGGTCAAGTTTGTTCCAACGGTCAAGAGGAGACACCGTTTAGTCACCACCTGAAGCAGACCTCGGTGGATGTCGAAAACATTCGTGAAGTTTGTTACGGAGACAACACTGTTATAAAAAGGTTTCGTGGATTGTTATTGCCTTTTTAAAACTGTCCTATTTGGAAATAACATATTCTATGAATTATGGACTGAGGAAGACCTATCAAATTACGTCAAAAACATTTGTAGTTTTGAGTAAATTAATTTGCTGGATAGGAAAGTGTTACACTGATTCTTTAAATTTAAAAATATATGTAAAATACCAAACTCAACATTTTATACAAAAAATGTTCAATTACATTAAAGATCCATATCATCGAAGTGTTAATGTTGAAATAAAATAACAACTTCCTGCAAAGTTTACCATTACTATATATTATCACAGGAAATAAGATAAAAAAATATTCTCATATATTACAACTCTACTGTAAGTTCTTAAAATGTGGTGTATGTTTGAAAATAACATGATAGAATAATCAGTATCCATTGTTCAAAATACATTAACAATTAAAAATTACGTGCACAGCATAGTTTTGCTCTTTGGCTGTTAACAACAAAATTTACATACAACTAAAATTTCAAGTTTAGGAAAATGTCTATTTTTTTTTATTAAGAGTCTGTAGATTTATAGATTTGAAATTATATCTGAGTGAATCTAAACTTTGGTCAAGTAGCTTAATTTTATCATTAAGCTAATTGACCAAAGTTTTAAGGTGCCTATTTTGGACATTTAGGCTTTTTAGCACCTTGTTTTGACATTAATGCTTGTTATTTGCCTTTTCTTTGTTTGAAAAAAAAATCAAAGTGTAATATGAAATATGGTCAAACCCCATATGACATTATCAGTATATACAAAGTTTACATTAATGCAGTGGTTCTTAATCAATGCATTAATATAACCAGTTCTTAACCTACCTCGAGTATTTCACAAAAGAAAAGATTTTAAAGTTTTTATTCAAGTTTATTCCCATTGCTATATTCGTAGATTGTTCCATGTTTCTATTTTATACAATATATTAAAGTTTATTAGTTTATTGCTTCATTGTTTCCTGAGAAAAATAAACATGAAATTGCTTATCAATTTTTGAATGTATTGATGCTAATGCTCCATGTAATAAAAAATATACAAATGGTGTTCCACAGCCTCAGATAGGTTGAGAACAACTGAATTAATGTGAAATAAATTTGTGATCCCATGGATGAAGATAGGAATTTCATTGTTAATGAGTTTGTATTAATCAAAATGACAATTTTTAAGTTTCTTTGTCTTTGTATTAATGGGGTTTGACTGTAGCATAATTTAAAAACAATTCACTTTGTAAATACACTCAATTAAGTTTCAAGGAAAAATGATAAAACACTAAACATACTATATTTCCTCTGAGAATGCCTACTATCAAATTGCTGCCAGCCTCCTTAGTCTCTGAAAGGGAAACTGCCATATAAACATATCCCTAATATGCACCATTCTGGGATTACTCATTTTTCCATCTAAGTATTAGGTTATTATAGTATAAGAAATTTCTGTACAGGTAATGAAATTCAAACTTTTTAGAGTAGAGACAGGAATTTTGCTTCTTTCACAATATATGTATGAATAAAACCCAAACATAGATATTATAAGCATTATGGTGCTGGTGCCAAGCTAAATATTGCCAAATAAATGCCAATGTTGGACAGCTGCCAGTCTCTAATAAACACTAGGTTTGAGTTTTTCATTTGGTAAATAAATGCTGAAGCATTTATTAAAGGAAATATGATGATATATTTAATTTTTAAAAACAGATATTTTAAATATTTATATTATTTTTAAATGAATTTAATCTATTATTCTTTATTACGTTTAAAAACAGTTTTACTAAGTGACTTAATAGCAAAAAATTATCATATAGTGTTTTATTCATCTACTTATATTAAGCATTTCTTTCTTAAAATTTGAACTCAGTGTTGTTCATTTTCACTTCCTCTGTAAATTATACATAATGCCTAAACAAAAATCTTCAAAAATGATGTTATAACAACAGTGGATGTCACAGTTCAGATTGCTATACCATGAATGGCACACCTATTCTGTTCCAGGTCTGCAATAAAAATGTAATTCTAATATTTCATATATGTTTCATATATGGAAGAAAAAAGATTTTTATAATGACCTTTGTCACATTTTTTGCTAGTGCAAATATTCCATGGAATGTTATTGAAAATCTAACAATGAGAGCATTCTTGGAGAAATACTGCAAGGAAGTCAAGCTGTCTGAGTTGACTTTTTGAAAAAACTGACTTGGTTGTCTTTATGAAGAAAATTTACAAAAAATTTAAA